CAAGCTTTGTTCCACTTCTTCTTCCCTAGAGTCTCTTTTCCTTGGAAGGGTTGGGAGATGTATAAGTTTCAGCAAGTGATTGTGGTTCTCTGCCTGCTTCAGTATGAAGAAAAAGGAGTTGGGTTCTCTGCCTTGCCGGTGTGGCAAAAAGGAGGTGTTTTTGTGAGGGCTTCTCCGCCTAGCTGTGGGGGCTAAAGGAGAGTCACGTTGGTAGTGAAATACTCGGAGGGCGCCTCCAGGGAGTGGATGTAGGTAAAGTTGACCGAACCACTATAAACCCTTGTGTTCTTTTTACTACTTCCGCATTTTAATTTTTCCGCACTTATTTTTCCGTGGTGATTTTGGTTTGTGATAATCGTTCTTTTGGTTTCAAAATTTTTTTTAAAATACCAATTCTCCCCCCCCCCTCTTGGTTAGCCTCGGGACTAGTTCATAGGGCTTAACATCCCTAACAAACTTTAACATAAGGATTTTCAATATGGATTGAGCTGGAAGAGACATCTTTAATATTAGGACAAACGGAATCAAAATGTCCTTTTCTCCCACACTTGAAACAATTTGAAGAAAGATTTTCGTATTCAAATTTTTGAAAAAATCTACCATGCAAACCTTCAACCCAAATACCAGAAGGAAGTTTAGAATTTAAATTCACCTGAACGCATGGTCTAGCAAATTCTCTTCTCCCCCATCTAAACATATTACCATCCAACAATAGAGGAGTCCCAATTCTAGAAACCATTCTTGTGATATTAGATTCATCCCAACAATGAAGAGGTAGGTGAGGAAGACGAACCCACAACGAAGAAGAAACTCCATCCAAGAAATTGGGAGAGAAGTTAGGAGACCACTTATCTAACCCAACAATGAGCCTCCTACAAACCAAGGACCTCCATTAAGAACTTCTTCCATGGCTTCATGAGTTTGGAAGGAACATAATAGCCAATCTAGACCAAGCAAGGTTATATGAAACCCTCCATATTTCATCCATTGCTTCCTTAATTCAATAGCACATTGTGAAAAAGGTAAATTTTTTCCAAGAATTTTAACAACCAACGATTTACTCAAAACTTGAATATTGGAAATTTCCTTCTCCATGTCAAGTTTAACAACATTTGCATCTTCAATCTCATCATGAATCTGATTAAAATTAATTTTATTGTGTGGTTTTTTTATCCACACATTAGAATTATCCTATCTAGATGAAATAATTGGATTAATACTCTTTTCATTCTTTAATAAATCACTGAAACTACTCCTTGAAGAAGAAGCCTCCTTGTCATTTGCTCCTGAGATAATAACCGATGTAGGTGACTTTGGTATTTTTCCAAAATTGAAATTACCTCTTTCCCTTTACCTGACTCCGGTAAGGGCTTGTGTTTAGTAATCAAACCTCCCTCTTTGATGACAAGAGGAGATTCAAAAACCTGAAGATTGTCAGGGGAGATTCATTTGAAAGAGAATCTACCTTTTGAATCCAACATAATTGGACTCACGGTAGAAAGAAAGGATTTGGTGTTCCAGTCATCCATAGATGACCGACCACCTTCTTCCATCTCCAACTTTGGCACCCAAAATCTTCAAATGCTCCTTCAAAATCCTCCTAATTTTGTGGTGCTTCTCTCTCTTCACTCTTTTTTTGTGATCACATTCGAGAAGAAAAGGTAGTCCATTTTTTTGTATGGTATGGTATTCAGTTGTGCACTTCTCTTAACATTTCTAATTTGCATATTGAGGCTAATTTTGGCTTGGATTTTAACCTCTTTCTAGCTGAAGATGAGACTTGTTATTCTCCGTACCTCTTCTATTTGGTTAGGGAGATTAAAAATCTTTTGTTGTCCCTTAACTTTTCTTTTCACCATATCAGTAAGGATGGTAATGCTTGTGTCTCTTGGTTGGCTATGTGGGGATGCAGACGATCTTTTTTTGTTGATTTTATTTGGGGC